GGGCCGGGATGGAGCCGGCCGCAGCAGCAGGGGAGGGGGAGGCTTGGCCTCTGCCGTTACCCCCCCTCCCCTTTCCAGGCTACCCGGCCCCTTTGGGTCGCTTGGAGGACACGGGGAGAGGTCACCTCCAGCTGAGGTTTGGCCTCGCTGGCAGGGACGGAGAGGGACGGGGCTCGCGGTGGGGCCCACCGCTGTCCTCCGGTGTGTGGAACAGGTGCTGACCCACACCCCGAGCTGTGGGGAGCCAGCCCCGTGCAGCAGGGAGCCAGCTCTAACCACGGGGAGCCATCCCCGAGCTGTGGGGAGGCAGCCCTGGGCAGCGGGGAGCCAGCTCCGGGCAGTGGGGAGCCAGCTCTGAGCAGTGGGGAGCCAGCTGCAAGATGGGGAGCCATCCCCAGGCAGCAGGGAGCCATCTCCGGGCAGCGGGAACCAGCCACAAGGTGCGGGGGGGCCCTTGCACTTGCTGGCTCTCGAGCTGGGTCCTGCCCAGGCAGGGACTCTGCCTGCATAACCCCCGCACCCCAAGCTCCCTTCTCCCACTGATCGTGAAAGTAGTGGGTGTTTGTGAGGGGCCTCGTACCACAAATTATCTAAGGAAGGCAGAAAGCCCTGCAAATCTGCAGGGGGGCATTTGGGGGGTGCAGGGAGAGCGGAGGGCTCACTCTAAAATGGGAGCGGGCAGCCGAGTGCAGGTGCCCTCTGAAAAAGCTGGGACGGACAAGCAGGACCTGTCCAGTCACTCCTCTGTCCCCACCTGTCTGGCCCAGGCAGTTCAGCAACCCTTTCCAGACACCCAGGATGCCGGCTCTCCTCCCCGACCCAGCCCAGCTCCTGGAAATGCCACAAGACCGGGAAGGCTGGGGTCTGCCACGGCTCCTGGCTCAGGGCCCTGTCTGAGGTCTGTTCCCCGTGTGGCCCGGGGCGCAGTGTGCCGGGCTCTGCTCCCATGCCCACTGCCCTTTGCCTGGCCGCTGGCTCAAGAGCCGGGACGCAGCAGTGCGGGCAGCAGCCTGGAGCTGCCAGCCCTGGGAGAAACCTCAGGAAAATTGCTTAGAAGCTGCAAGAAAATGGGGAGTGATTGTCACAGCCCAAGTGACTGTCACAGCTTAATAATTAGCGGGCAGAGGGGGTGGAAGTACAGCCTGTCTCTGTCTAATTTTGCAGCCGCTGTTGTAGCGACTGTTGCAAAGGACTGAAACGGGCCAAAAGAGCTTTGGGTTGCACAGGGGATCGGGAGGGATGTGATCTGGTGGGTCCTGAGGGATGAAGGATGTTGTGCCGGTCAGTACCCAGCACATCACCCTTGGCTTCCATCTCGTGGAGCACAGGCAGTGGGCAGTGGCTGGACTGCTGGACTCAGAGCAGGGCACAGGCTGCTGACCTGCTCCCTGCCTACCTCTCCCGCCCTTGCTGCTGTCCAGTGCGGCTCGGAGGGAGACAGGAGCTAATCGCGCTTCTGCATCATCAAAGAGATTCTTGGGAGCTGCATATCACCTTCCCAGCGCTGCCGGGAAGGGCCCAAGGGGGGTTTGTAAGGCCAGCCTTTGCGTCAAAGCTAGTTCATCTCTGTCCTCGGGCACAGCACATGTCTCCCTGCCAGCCTGGAGATCTCTGGCAGATATTCCTCCCAGTGCCTGGTCTCCCTGAGGAGACAGCAGAGCTGTGCCTGGCTGCTGGGAGCAGGGAGGGAAGGGATTTGGCACTGGACAGTGCAAAACTCATCTTGGGCACGAAGCTGGGGTGAATACTTGGATGGTCCCAGGCCGTTTAGGCTCGGGGCTGCTGGGACCTCAATGGCTTGAGCATTCCTGAGCAGCTACACGCAGGCTTCCTTGTGGAGAGGCGGTGTTGGGTCCAGGCTGGAGCTTATCTGCCAAGGGGAGGGAGCTGAAACTTGATAAGAAGCAGCCCTGCGGTGGGTCTGGATTGCTGGCAGGGTGGGACACCCGCCGGCTGGGAGAGGAGGGCAGGGACCTGCGGTACCAGGAGGTTCCTTGGCTTATCTCTGGCAGGATCATTCTTCTACTACGTGCACAGGGCAGCGCGTGGAGGGGTCTTTACACAGGCATCCCTTATCATTAAAATCCAGCCTTCCTCCTGTCCTGACAGGCTGGGAGAGGCTGCATGAATCTGGGGTGTGCGAACCTTAGTTCTGCCTGCTTGGCCAATACGTCTTTGATGCTCCTCTAACGCTGGTGGGGGTTATCCCCCTGCACTCCTTTCTTGCGCATTGAAGGAGCCGAACAGGCTGCTCCTGAACCCAGGCTGTTTGCTTGGGAGCGTGGTGGTGTTTGGAGGGGCTGGTCGGAGAAGGCAGCATGCTCATAGGCTGCTGGAACTAATGTGATGAGTTTGCAGGTCTCTGCATCCAGTCATCTGGTGGGGCTGAGAGGCAGCTCTCCGGTTACTGCGTTTGTCCTCGGCTGGTATTCTAACTGTGGGATGCGGTCCCAGAAGAATCACCAGCCGTCGGGACAGGTCTCCTTGTTTCCCCCCATCTGTCAGAGCCATGTGCAAGTGCTGCCTGGGTTGCCAGGAGGAAAATGAACTCTGCTGGTATCTGCCATCCATTACGCACCCCACCATTTGGGTCTGTGGGTGTCGCAGGGTGCCTGGCACAGAGGTGGATGGTACCAGCCCCTGGCAAAGCACGTCCTCCCCACGCTGCCCCAACAGCCCCAGACGTACTTGCCGAAGTAAACCAGGGCTTGGGGCTGCATTCTCATCTTTGCTGCAGTCCTGGCTCCCAGGGGCCTCCGTCCTCCAGGAAAAGCAAGCTAAGCTTTACAACCCCCTGAGGTGCTAGGAAAGTGGTCCCTGAGGAGCCTTTGCTGGAGGCTTTTGGAAGGAGCCAAAGCAAGAGGAAGATCTGGGGGCTCTTGCAGCTTCTAGGGCAGAGTCAGGTGAATTCAGAAAGTCCCCCCACATTTTTTGGCTAATAAGTGTTGGGAGGCTGGGGGGGAAAAGGCAGTTCAACCCAGCCAGGAGGCAGTGGCAGGCTCTGGGGCACTGATATCCAGATGAGGATGCTGACAGCTGCTCCAGCTCAGGCATGCAGGAGCAGCTGTGCTCTGCTGGGGGGCTGAGCCAGCCTGCGCTGCTGTCCCCCCAAGTCACCTGTGGCTTTCAGATGGTGCCAGTTGCTGCTCCAGCCATGGCCGGGGGATGTTTTGGCTCCATGACTCTGCTCAGCCAGGGGGAGCCCAGCCTGTCTTTGCCATGGCCCCCAGGACCCCATCTCCAGGCACTGCAGCAGGGGTGGATGGGGACAAGCCCCTCCATCCCAAACTGTAAGACCCCTGGGTGAGCCCACCAGGCTGGGTGGACGGGGGATGGGCTGTGCAAAACTACAACCCCTCCACTATCCTTCCACGGGGCCAGTGGCAGGGAAGGAAGAGGGGCCGGGGCTGGGACAATGGGCTGTGGAGCTGACTCAAACAGCCAGTTCCTGGTCGCTTCCTCTCCCCCCTCCCGTGCTGGAGCTGGCCCTGGGCGGGGAAGGCGGAGGAATCTCACTTCTCTCAGCCTGTTTTTGAAGCAAGAGCTCCCGGGCAGCAGGAGTGAGCACCCTCCCACCTGCGCCCACAGCCATGGCCAAGGCAGAATGGCTCCTGGCACCCTGGCACCGGGGAGGTAAGGCAGGCAGGGCGGGCAGGGGGAGGCAGCAAGGCAGCCTTCTCGGGGAGGAGCGAGCAGTGAGGGCGGTGGAGTTGCAGGCACCGGTCGCTCTGCAGGGCAAGACCCCGGGTTGGGGTGAGCTGTCGGGTATAGACACTGGTCTCCAGAGGCCGTGCAATAGCCACAGGGTTGGGTGGCAGTGCGGGTTTTGTCCCACCTTTCCCAGCCTGGCCTCAGTTGTGGTGTGTCACCTGCCCTTTTAAATCCTTGCTGCCATTCCCCAGCCTGTTGGGGTGACAAAGCAAGAGAAGCACAGAGATCCCCTGCACGCGTGTCCCACCAACCATTCCTCAGGCTGGGATTGAGCCTTGCTGGGATGGATCGTGCCCAGCCCTGTGGTGCTGTACCCTCCTGGCAGCTCTTGCTTGCTGGTGGTGGCAGGAATGGGGACCGTGTGACCGTGGGTTAGCCCACATCGCAACCATCCAGGGCTCTCGGTGCTCTCGCTGCCCTCACCATCGCTCCTGCTGTGGCTGATTTCATGTCTCAGGCCCCTTTGTCCTGGGGCCTGGCTGCGTTCCCCTCACAGGCAACTTCCTCACATTGTCCCGGCCCCGCGGAGTGTAAAACCAGCCGGGCACAGGGGAAATGGTGCTTTCCTGGAAGCACCCCTGCCCAGCGAGGGGCTGCAGCCTCTCCAGCACGGGCAGCCCGTGCGCCTGGGAGCGCTGCCCCAGGCATCCATGCACCACCAAACAGTCCAGGCCAGGCTGGGGACATCACCGGGGGAAAGCCCTCGGGCAGCTGGCCTTGGCCACCCTGGGCCTAGGTGTGCCCTTGGCCACGGTGTGTGGTGATGCTGTGCTGGGGTGCCAAGGACCGGCTGGGGCTGGGGCTGGCAGGTTGCTGCGCTGGGTTTCCTGAGGCCCTTGGGAAAGGTTTGCGCCTGTTTTCTTGTCTGGGAAGCATGTGAGAGTAAGGGGTGTGATATGAGGAGGAAGTCATGCTGCTAGGGAGCCACAGCAGGTCTGGGAGAAGGGCTCCGAGAAGCCTGATTCTGCCGACCATGGCTGATGGCTTGCTGCAGGGACTGGGGTCGAGCCAGGATCTGGGATTGCAAAGGCAGGGTGATGAGAGCACCCGTGGCCAAGCCCAGAGCAGCTGCCGCTGGTACCGGCGCTCTGCTCCATCCTCGGGAGCGGTGGCTCTCAGCCCTTTGGCAAGCAGCAGCATGAGTTCACCTTGGCCGGCTGCAGTACTGGGCCAAGCCCTGCTGCGAGCGTGGCCACAGGCAGTTCCCATCCCCACAGCACAAGCGGATGGTGCGCCGGGGCTCCTCCTGTGCCGGGCTTGCTGGCCAAGTTCCCTCCACAGCACACACACCTCCCCTGGCTCCCAAAACTCCCTGACAGGGTCCTGGCTCACATTGCCGGAGCCAAATGTACCCAGCACAGCTTTTCACCAGTGGCCCCCACCTGCCAGCCAGGCTCTGCACCGGCCTCAAGGGCAGTCACCAAGCCAGCAGTGCCACAGCTCATGGGGATTTTGACCAGCATCAGCTCTTCCCCTGTCACCTTGCTCCCACTGCAGCAGGGCACCCCACCACAGAAGCTAGCCCGGCTTGTCTGTCTGGGGTCGCAGTTGACACCATCCATGAGGAGCATACGTGTCCCCTCTGGTCCTGCCCTACACCAGGCATAAGGCAAAGGTGATGGATCAGTTGGGATCTGGCTGGAGAAAGAGGGCTTTTATGTGTTTTACCGGATCTCATCACAGGGTCAAGCAGTTAGAGTGCCCTAGCACACTGTTAACTCTGAGCCCTACTGAGGGACGGTGATGTTATTGACTGTATTGCTGCTAGTGATTTTAATAGAAATCTCACATAATCCAGCCTTCTCCCCATGAACTGAGTGACCCTCACAGCTACCAAACCCACCACCCCTGTCAGCAACTTCTGCAGTGCCGTTATCTCCTGTCAGTATAAAAATCAGCTGATGGCATTTTAAACAGGGAGGTGAGAAGACCTGAGAGTCTCTGGCAGATTTGGTGTAGCAGGGTGATGTTATTCTTCAGTGCCCCACGATCCTGCTGGGCACCTGTGGAGGAACACGCAGACATGCTGTGCAGGGCAACACCGAGTTCCTGGCATGGGCATCCCTCTAAAAAGCTTCCAGCCCCTCCAGCCTCAACCACCAGCAGGTCAGACGTCTGTAAGGATGGCCCTGCCTCACTGAGGGCTCGGACATGTGCCCACAAGACGTATAACGGAGGGACAATGTCCCGGGGAGGGTCCAGGTTTGAACAGGGCACAGTACGTCAGCTGCCCAAACAAGGGATGATCTTGGGCACGCTCCAGCCTGCGCGTGGCAAGTTGGACAGGTCTGCCCAGTGAGCATTGCTCCCTTGTGGCATTGAGCGTGTGGATATTTAGTGGGGTGTCACTTTGGGATGTCGTTCGGACCGGGCAGCATCCCGCCCTGGAGCTGCCGTGCACGTGGATGCCACTCCGCATCCCAGCAGGGCAGCTGGGCCAGCGGGTCCAAGTTCAGCAGGGGGTGAGCTTGGGACAGGAGGCACTTTCTGCAGCCACTGCCAGCTCCCACTGTTTGCTCTTTTCTCTTCCTCTCCGCTCATCGCAGAGCAGCGTGCGCTTTGGCTCCATACCACAGGGAATGTCATCAAGCCGCACGCGCTGGGAGCGAGCAGTCGCAGTGCCGGTGGCGGGCCGGGGCGCTTGCTCGAAGCCGGCAGCATATGTTGCCGCCACTGCGGCGCATCGGCTCCTGCTGGCGGGATTTGGGTTGCTGTTGGGATCGGTCTCAGCCTCCAAGTTCGCAGTCCTCATCCTCCGGTGTGCTAGGACCGGCAGCGGTGGCTGGCTTGCCGCTGTGCCGATACCCGTTGCCATGGCTGCTCTGCTAATGGTGCATCGCCTGCTGCTGCCGTTACATCACTCCTGTGGTACCTCTGCATCAGCAGCGAGGGGCCGAGCGGCACCGTCTGCATTGCCGGCGCTTCCTGTGAGCTTGGAGCGAGCTTGAGGAGGAAAAGTTTGGCGGTGAGCTCGAGCAAGAGGCATCATCTCACGGGAGCTTCGGCCTGAATTGAAACAACTCCTGATGGCTCTGTCAAATATCTCCCTGTGGATTCGGGATGCCTGGGCAGTAGGTAAACAGGGTTGCTGGCATGGAGTGGGGGTGACTTGGGGAGATGCTCGTGGAGGGCACATATTCTGTGCTCTGCGGCTGGGGGTCTTGCAGGGACACTTTTCTCCCAAGAGAGAGTGAAGCTCAGCTTCCCTTAGAGCAAGCTCCCCTTGGTTTCAGCCTGGTTCACATACACTTGGAGTGGCCGTGGCGTCCCAAGCCTGAACACTCGCTCGCGCTCAGTAAGACTCTGCAAGCTGTCACAGAGATAGCAGCACCTGATGTGGCTGATGGTGCTGGTTTGCACCCCTGCCTGGGGCAGCCCAGCAGGGACCATCCCAGCAAGATGCTGCCCTTGCTTCCAGCCCCAGGGCAAGGAGCAGAGCTCACGGCAGCTCTGAGAGGGGACAAAGCCCCTGGGGACACATGGGGAGCAGCCTCTGGCAGTCCTGGACTCCAGCCACCTGTCATTAACACCTCTGCCCATGCCTGCCTGTGCCCGCCTGCAGGCAGAGCTGGGGCTGCTGCCTGCTCCCCTCTGCAAGCCTCAGGGCAGGGAGGGGCCAGCAGGAAGCTGAGGCCAGCTGCCTGTGGGGTGAGCCTCCCCAGCAGCCATGCCTCAATTTCCCCCCTGGCAGCAAGGCTGGCCAGGCTCAGGTCAAGAATGTTGGGGGTGTCTGGGATGGAGCTGGCTCTCCAGCTCTGCTCTCCCAGGACAGCCTTCACCTCCCACAGGCATTTGCCATGGGGTGGGGGGCCCCCTCAGAGGCATGTTGTATTTTGAGCCTGTCACTGATAAGCTTGGCAGGAGGGTCACCGCCAAGGGCAGCAGGCTCTGCTCCGGCTGCACTGTTCCTGCCGGGCACTTGGCTCGACTGGGGCACCCTGAGCCCCACAGATGTGGGTGGCAGCCGCAGCTTGCACAGACACCCCAAACCTGCTCTTGCACCAAGCCTGCACCAGGCTGCTTCCAAATACATCCCAGCCCTTGGGACCACTGGCCACAGTGCCGCTTTATCGGCCCTTGCCGTGGGCCAGGCTGCTGGCTCCTCACACCAGATCGCAGAGCCACCGTGTGATGCTGGGTCGTGAGCGGCTGCCGGGGCTGTGTCCAAAAAACCCCGAGTGACTGCTCCCGAGGAGCGAAAGCCAAAATACTGGGGTGTGATGCTCACTTTTGCTGGCAGGGTAGTGCATGGTGCAGCCCCTCAGGTTTGAGGTGCCTGGGCCGGTGGAGGGATGCTTTGCTCATCTACTCTTTCCCACGCCGTCTCCTCCTCAGCTGCTGCTTCTGCTGGGATGATGAAACCAGCTACACCAGCGCCTCAGCGATGCCGGCACTGCTGCCTGCACCAGCTCAGGACAGCACCGGCTCACTTGTGTTCCCAACCAAGTGTGTCTGCAAGGGGTGGAAAGTGCTGTAGGGCAGGGACCCCCCCCGACCACTTCGCACTGCCCTTTCCTCGTTTGCCCAGCTGTAGCTGGCCACGCTGCCCTCTCTTGCCTGCCTGAGCAGGGCAGGGTGCTGGGCCCCCCCTCGCCGGGTGCCTGGACACGCTTCCGCTTTGCCTCTGGGCGGCCCCGGGTTTCGGTGCTGCGGTTTGCCCTCGTGGTTGGAGCCCACAGGGTGGGTGCCTGGGGGTGCCCCAGCAGTGGGGCTGAGGCTGCAGAGGTAAGCTCCTGTCCTGCGGCTCCGGGGAGGGCAGTGGGGGGCTGCCCCACAGGAGGATGCCAGTACAGGGCGGCTTGGGGAGGTGGGGAGGGGGCAGCAAGGGGCTGTGCTTTGGGGGGTGTCCCCAAGTCCTGGGGGGACACTGTGTAGCTGCTGCAGGGTCTGCAGGGGTTGGTGGGGATGGATGCTGGGAGACATGTGGGCAGAAGGCGAGGAACATCGGCACCCACCAAGGCCGAAGGCTGGGTCTGTGTGAGCTGGGCAGAAGGGTGCAGCGAGCCAGGGTGTGGGACCTGCCCTTGGGGTGTGCTCAGAAATCAGGGCAGCAGCAGATCCCCTACCTCACCAAAGAGAGTGGGTTGGGGGCTGGGGGCTGCAGAGGTGAACATGTGGGTCAGGTTTGCAGGGAGATGCCCCGACCCTCCCCCCTGCCCAGCCACATTCCTGGCTCCCATCCTCAGGGGTCAACTGGGCACACGGGGTGAGCCAGAGGCCAGGACACAGGGCTCCTTCTGCCAGGACCCCTGTCCCCTCCGGGCATCACCACCTGGCAGGCACCAAACTGGGAGGCGAGAGGAGGAAAAGCCTCATCCCTGTATGAGAAAAGGGGCTGCTTCCCCGGCTGCATGGCCCAGCCCTCTGGCATGGGGCTCTGCAGCTGGGCAAAGCCTCAGCGGGGTTTACACACACACACACGCCCAGACACCTCTTGGTTGATATGGAAACGAGTCAAATTATTTAAAGGAGAAAGGGGGAAAAAAAAAAAAGCCTGGTGTTAAGGCACGTCGTTATGGTAACACAAATTATAAAAGTAACTAGGCTAGGGACGTGGCACCTTGCTTTCGGGTGCTGGGCGTTGTGCAGGCTCTGCTGCTCGATCAGCGGGAGCTGGGGGGAAGGGTGGGCAGGACAGCACCCACAGGCAGGATGGCACCCACGGGCAACAGGGTGATGCTCAGGGTGCAGTGCTGGGTGAGCTGGGGCACTGGGGGGGGACACACGGTGGGGGACATGGCTTGTGCTGAGGAACCTGGCCACATTTTGGGGCCGTTACCCTTCACCCAGGCAAGTGGGATTGCTGGAGCTACCTCGTCTGGGGTCTGGCATGAAGCAGGGTGCTGTGGCCAGAGGTGGCTGTGTGATGGCAGCTGGGGCAGTGGCGTGCTTGCTGGGGACGGGCACCCCACAGCCCCACATGCTGCGGGTGGCAGAGGGGAAGTGTTTGTCATGCTGGTAATGGGAGTGCCTCGACTGATGGGGATGGGGCTGGGCATGCAGGCAGAGCCTGCCTGCACCCCCATTGTCCTCAGAAAGTCCTCGGCCCCTGTCACCCTTTGCTTGCTGCTCTTTCCTGCAAAATGTGAGTCAGACTTGGGATGTTCATCCACCTGGCCAGGTGGATGAATCAGTGCTGGCTGATGAGGTGCAACGTCCCAGCTACTAGACAGGGTGAAGTCCCTGGTCCCTGGGGGTGATACAAGCCTGGTGGGTGACACTGGGGCATAGGACCTTGTGCGGCAACCAGTGCCAACAGCAGCCATCCCTCTGCCCACACCAGGGGCAGCTGGAGAAGGATTAGCCCTAAGTTTCCAGGGGTGAGACCCTGGTCATCCATGAGCCCCATTTAAAGCTCACAAACCTGCTATCTGCCTTCACTGCCCAGGTCAGGGCTTGGATGCCCTCAGCAGGCAGCGTGCCAGCGGCAGCACTCCCATGGCTCCAGTGCAAAACTGCATGGGGTAGGAAACCCATATCTGCTCGGGCCTGGCGCAGCTCCGGAGTGGAGGTCCCGGTGCTGCAGGGATGCCCATGGCAAAGCCTGTTGCCAGAGCACTGCTCAGCTCCCAGCATGTCCAGCTCCCTGGTGAGCCCACATCCTTCTCCCAGGCACTTTCCTGTACGTGTGGGTGTTTCAGAGGGTCTAGCCAAGTGCCTGGCCCATCCCTGCAGAGGTTTCCTTTCCAGGAGACCTTTGCAGGGTGTCCACCGCCAGGGCAGGGCATGTTAACCTCGCTGAGCAGGCTGAAACCAGTGTGATGAAAGGCGCTGTGTTCCCTTCGCTCCCTCATTTTCAGTTGCAACTTCTGCTCTTCTGTGGCCAGGAGGTTGCTTCACTGGAGCATGCGGCTTTTCCTGCACCCAGGAGCAGCCGAGCAGTCACCCAGGGCAACAGGGCTTGCTTCCTTCCCCAATTTCCCCCTGCTTCCTTTCTGACTTGTTCTGGCAGCCTGCGGGGGCAGTGTCCATCCCCCAGAGCAGCAGCAGTGGCAGTGATGGGGTCTGGTCCCACCCAGCAGCAGCCTGCAGGGGTGGCTTTTCTGGGATGGGACACATATCCCAGTCGCTGCATTCCTGGAGAGCCCTAGGACAGGATGAGCGTGCTGCACCGGTGCGGTGTCAGCTTGGCAGCCTGCGGCAGTGCTCACAGGGAAACGGCCTGCCCTCCACCTTCTCACCCTGCTCCCTCCTGCTTGCAGCCACCTCTAACCTGGACCTCGAGAACAAGAAAGCCGCCCACACCAAGCTGTCATGGCAGCAGCCAGTGAACGTCTTCCTGGCATCTGGGCGCCCGCCGGGCATGGAGCAGCTGCACCAGGAGGCCCAGCTCAACCTCCAGAGCTTGCTGCAAGGTAGCGGAGCAAGAGGGGCCAGCGGCAGGGTGGGTGAGCGTGGCAGGGATGGGTGCTTCCCTGGGTACACGACTGCCATGCAAACAGCAAGGTCATCTCCATGTGCATGTGTCCGAGCCACTCCTCAGACCTTGCCAAGCTGTAGAAGTTGGGTCCCTAGGGGGTCCCAGCCTCTAGCAGACCCCCTCCAATCTCTGCTCCCAAGTCACTGCTGCAAGCAGCAAAGCAACTGGGGCCAAGACCAGTCGCTGGGGCTTCTGGACGCCCTCCAGCCCCACCGTGGTGCAGTTCTGGCCAAAAGGGCCTCAGAGACCCAGCTGCTGATCTGATCTATCTAACTGGATCAGTGTGGCTGTTGATTTTGTTTGCTTCCAATTTCTTAACCAAGCCATCACGCGGCCTCGGCTCGGATGCTTTGCAGGCATCGATTAGATCAGCAGCCCAGCCTTCCCCCAGCTTGTAATCTCATTAAGTCAGCCTGAGCAGACCTGGTTTCCGCCAGACCATAACGACCGGCATTAATTAGCTCAACAATTACAGGATGGGGAGACACTGAGTTCCCTCCTGGCTGTCCCCGGCAGGACCCACTGCATTCCCAGGCAGCCCCCCTGGGAGGAGCAGGGCGGGCTGCTGGGGTCTCAGCACTGCCTCAGCTCCCCCCCAGCCCTAGCATTCCTCCGTGACGTCCCCCTTCCCCACCTCTCCTGAGCTGCCTGTGTTGAGCAGGGACAGCCAGCCAGCCCGGGGACAGCTAGCCAGGAACAGCCAGCTGGGGCCAGCCCTCCTCCTGCCCTGGGAGCAAAGCTCTCACCCCCAGCCGGTGGCTGGAGCAGGGTCCCAGGTGCCGTTTCTCTTGCAGAGGAGTATGAGGAGCAGTACACCGAGAGCAGGGTCACCGGGCAGACCTTCCGTGCCACCGGCCACCTGCCCCCCGACACTCCCCCTGAGCCGTCGCCGCGACCCCCGCCTGCTAAGCGCCTTGAGTTTGTGCTTATGGTGAGTGCCGGGGCAGCAGGGCAGGGCAGTACAGCCCCAACATCGCCCAGAGAAGAGGGATTGGCACGGGCAGTTGGGCAGAAGGGCTGGGATGGAGCTATTTGTGTCATACCCTTTGGTGGGTCACGTGCCTTTTCCTCCACAGCCCCCAAGCCGGCGAGCAACCGAAGAGGAGACTGCTGGCACAACTGCACTCGGTGCTCGGCTGCCCGACACCTCCCTGAGCCTCCCCACCAGCCCCGACAAGCAGCCAGCCTGGACCAGGGCCTTCCCCCTGCCCACCGTGGAGGAGAAGCAGTGGCACCAGTCCTGCTCCATCCAAACCAACATCGTCCCCATCAATGTCTCGGGTAGGGCAGCACCTCCACAGCACAACACTGGCGGGGAGAGGCGCGAGAGGCAACCCCAGCACCAAGCTGGCACTGTGGGCAGGATATGGGGTGCAGGGTGGTGGGAGGCAGGGCTGGGGCTGTGAGCCTGTGTCCCTGTGGGCCAGGCAGGCACTGGGGGCAGAGCAGGGGACAGCTGGCATCTGTCATTCCCGGCCATCTCTCCTGCCATCTGCAACTTTGTGTGTCTGGTCCATTGGCCACACCGCCATCCAGTTTCTTGTTTCCACTGTGCTGCCCAGCCAGCCGGTTTTGTTGTCACCTTGGCTCTTGCTGTGCTCTCTGTGGCCAGCGTGTCTCACCTGTCTGCCCATCCGTCCATCCATCCTGTTGGGGCTGCATCTCCCAGCAGTGCGATCCTGCCCAGTCCTTGCAGACCCAAGTGCCTCACTCTGCCCCCAGGTCAGTCTGGGGACAGCAGCTGAGCAAGGTGCACCTTCTGAAGGCCAAAGATGTCTTTCCGCCCTTTCTCTCCACAACAGAGAGGTGTTCCAGGACCCCTGCCCCACTGTTCCTCATGTCCGTGTCCCCAGTGTGGCTCAGCACTGCTGGACTCATTAATGATGAAGGCCAGTGGTGCAGGGTCCAGCCTCACCAGCACCAACCAGAGCCTGTCACGCAGAGCCGGGCCAGTCTCTGTGGCTTCCCATGCATCCCACCTCCATCTGCAGCATCTCCGTCCTCCCACTGGCTGGCAGCACCCGCTGTGCCTCCATCTCCCCAGGGGCTCACCCCACGTGGCTCACCACCCTATGCCATCCCATGCTCCTGCCTGCAGTCAGCATCTCAAGCTGGGGGACACGCGGTGATGGAGGGGGGATGAGCCCCCACTCCGGCAGCCCCTCCTGCCACTGCTGCGTACAGCCTGTTTGTTTTGGCTACAGGGCAGCACTTTGCTAGGCACGCGAGTGCTCGTCACTCCCTGTTTAACACAGAGACCGCGATGAACCCCAAGTCCACCCTGCGGCGTAGACGGACCATTATCGGATTCCCTAACCTGTCCCTGCGAGACCAAGGTGACGGCAAGAACTGCGCAGCCACTTTCATGCTCCAGCAGCACCTGGGCAGGGCTGGCACCCACCAGAGCTGCACTGACAGTGGGCAGAGCCACCCTGGGGGCTGGTAGCCAGCCTGGGCACAGATGGGCTCCCCGGGGATGCCCCAGCCTTGGGGAGGTAAAGGCCACTGTGCTGGCTCTGCTCCCTCCTGAGACACCAAGGTGCTGGGCACGCTGGTGATTCTGGGCTGGCCCTGGGGCTGGCAGGGCATTGGGGACAGCCCCTTCACCCCAGGTCAGGGTCCTGCACACTTACGGGACAGGAAGGCCACCAAAATTTCTCCTAGTGATGGGAATCACCCAGCCTCAACTCCAGCAGCTCCTGCCCTGTGCCCACCCTTCCCAGAGGTGGGCAGACCTCCCTCAGGGTGCCAGGGCTGTGGGACACACACCCTGCCTGGGTCTTTGCTGGGGCTGGTGAGCTGGCCTATGCTGGCATGCTGAGGGCACTTGTGTGGCTGAGGGTCCCTGCAGCACTCCCAGCATGGCCACAGACTGGTGTTGGACCCTGTGGGGACAGCAGACATCCCAGCTCAAGGGCTTTGTCATGCTGTCCCCTATGGAAGGTGTAGAGAAACCAGAGCCAGCCTCTTTCTCAGAGGCAGGTAGGGCCAGGAGGAGGAGAAGCCATGGCACCAGCTTGCACCAGGGGGAGTTGTCACTGGGTAGGAGGAAGGTTTTTCCCCATGACAGTGATAAAACAAGGACGAAAGGTTATGATGGCTCCTCCCTTGGACATGGTCAGACCTCAACCCACTGCAACCTTGAGCATCCTGGTCTGCTGGGTGTGCCCTGAGTGGGACCCCCGGGTGCTTCGCTATCCAAGCAGTTCTGAGATGAGGTGGCACTGTGAGCCATCGTGTCCCTCCACAAACCAGGTGGCAATGCCTTGCTCTGCACTTCCTGGTCCCCATCTTTGTCCCCACCATGGGACAGCACTTTGGTGACCATGGAGCCAATGTTCTCACTCCTGCCATGGCTGCTAAGTTGTCCATGGCACATCCCAGCCAACAGATCCCAGACTCAAGGGTTGACACAGGCTGGGAACTGTCCCCGGTTGGGTTACAGCCACGCCAATACAGGGGGTAGGAGAGCATCTGGTAAGAGAGGTTGTCAACCTGTGCCCTCCAGTCTGCCTGGGCATGTTTGATGCCTGGGCAGAAGTGCAGTCCCAGAGATCAGCCACAGGGTGGGACCAGTCCTGGCCCCACGGCACACGGAGCAGGACCGTGCCGCCAACCTGCTGGTAGAGAGTGAAGCAGGACGATGCTCACCCAGGCTGTCTCTCCTTGCAGGCAGTGCCAACGGCCCCACACTCAACACACGTGTGCCCATTGCTGAGTCCCTCTCCTGCAGCTTCGTGCCTGAGGCCACAAGTGGGGGGAAGACACCCCAGGAGATCAGTCCCCACCAGCCCCTCTCTGCCCCACTGAGGAAGACCTTCAGTGACCTCGGTGCCCGCTGCTGCCAGCCACCCGCCACCATGGACAGTGCGGCCACCCCCTGCACCAGTGCTTGCAACGGGCCGCAGGGCACCCACTTCTCCCCATCCTGGAGTACCCTGGGCTACGGGAGCCCCTCCAGCCCCACCACCAGCCAGGGCAAGGGGCCCCCCTGTGCCTCTCCAGGCGGCTCCATCCCATCACCCAGCCCAGGCTCACCCGCTGCCTCCTTCTTCATTGCCACAGAGGAGCGTGCAGGCAGCAACGGGCCTGGCTCCTTTTCCAGCACAGTGCCTGAGTCCCCCTCCACCTCCGGGGGTGGCCAGAGGTGTGAGGGCCGAGAAGCCAAGGTGAACTTCTTGCCAGGAGGCCAAGAGGAGCCGGAGCCAGCTGTGGAGCCAGCACGGCTGGAGGTGGAGCGGGCAGGGTGCCGGTTCCGCGAGCGGTCGCTGTCAGTGCCCACTGACTCGGGCTCCCTCTGCTCGGTGGACATTGCGTACGCTGAGACTCGGCGGGGCAGTGCCAACTACGCCCTGGGCTACCCCAGCGCCAGCTCTGAGGGCAGCACCAGCACTGACAACATTTCCCTGGGGCTGGAGCCGGAGGGCCAGCGGCGGCGGCGCTCCAAGAGCATCTCCCTCAAGAAGGCGAAGAAGAAGCCCTCGCCACCCACACGCAGCGTCTCTCTGATTAAAGAGGGGCAGGATGCCACCGCGGGGCCCAGCTCACCACTGCCCAAGGATCAGCGACCCAAGAGCCTGTGCATCCCACCGGAGCCCCAGGGACACCGGCTGGTGCATGCCGAACCCCAGGGGAGCGTGGGGAGGGAGCCCGACGGCACAGCTACTCCCCACCAGTGGCATCTCACGGACTGGAAGGCCAGCGATCCCTACCGGTCCCTCTCCAGCTCAAGCACAGCCACAGGGACCACAGCCATCGAATGCACCAAGGCACGGGGCAGCTCTGAGTCCCTCACATCCCCCTCCATCTCCAGGGCCACGACGCCTTCCCAGCTCTCCGCCGAGGCAGACCTCAAGACCTCCTCCCCAGGCAGGCCCACTGGGCTGATGTCCCCATCCAGCGGGTACTCCAGCCAGTCGGAAACCCCAACGCCCACCGTCCCCACCTCTGCCATCCTTGGGCACTCCCCGCACCAGGTGCGGGTGAGGCCACTTGTCCCTGAGAGGAAGTCCTCACTGCCCCCCACATCCCCCATGGAGAGGAGCCCCAAGTCCAGGCTGTCCTTCGACCTGCCGCTCATGCCACCCGCCCACCTCGACCTCTCAGGGCTGAAAATCTCCCTGAAAGGGAAGACGAAGGTCAGCCGGCACCACTCCGACTCCACCTTTGGCATCAAGCTGGCCCAGAAGACCAGCCCCATCACACCCATCATGCCGGTGGTCACACAGTCCGACCTGCGCTCCGTCCGCCTCCGCTCCATCAGCCGCTCGGAGCCAGAGGACAATGCTGATGGACCAGATCACGCTGAGGAGCTGTCGCACGGTCCCTGCCTGGGGCCAGAGAGGAAGGTGAAGCCACCTGTGGCAGAGAAGCCGCCACTGGCCAAGCGGCCCCCGATCATCCTGCCCAAGCCCCCACCTCTGCGGGAGGAGGGTCCCCTGTCACCCACATCCCCACCAGGCGCTGCCACCAAGGAGAAGGGGCTGCCTCAGGATGGCTTTGTGGTGCTGCGGAAAGGGGAGTGGAGGAGGAGCCCGGGGGACTCCCCCTTGCCCCTGACCCCGGCAGGACCCCGGCGGCTCTCGCAGGGCAGCCTGGAGGATGAGCCACGGCCAGAGTGGAGTGGTGCCAGCGAGGGGGAGCGGAGGAAGGCCAAGGTGCCGCCGCCAGTGCCCAAAAAACCCAGCGTGCTCTACCTGCCGCTCGCCCCAACCCCGGCACATCTGGGAGCTGGCATGGGGGACCAGCCACCCACCCCCAGCCCCATCATCACGCTGGACACTGACCCTACCTGCTGCGACCCCGACGTTGAGGAGCCACCATCCCCAGAGGCCCTGGGCACAGCACAAGCCAGTGACCACTCCTCAGAGCAAGGTGAGGGTCTCCCCAATCCTATGATGGGTTTCACCCCAGGGACAGGGGGGTGCCGCCATGCCCACACAGGACATTTCACAGCTGCCGCCTTCTCCCTGCCTACAGGCAGCTCAGGGGAGGCTGGCACAGAGGAAAAAAGCTTCGTCAGCGACAAGACGGCTGACTCCATCGCAGAGGAGGACGACGATGTGTTCGTGACATCCTGCACCACGGAGGATCTCTTCACTGTGATCCACAGGTAAGGCTGGTGCATGGCACTGGGTGGGCACAGCCCCCCATCCCTGCTGCATCCTGCCACAGTCACAGGGCCAAGCAGTTTTCCTCCCACCACACCACCTTAAATTTTCCACACCAGGACCAATGCTCGCACTTAGGGACCACCTGGCTGTTGCTGTCTCAAGCACTTCAGAGTTTAGCATGCCGTCTGTGGCCAGGCTGGGTCACCAGCTTGCAGGGGGGGTGTCCACTACTCCATCAGCCTTTGTGGCAAGTCAGACCTAGCTGCCTGGAGAGTGTTTACCATCAGCTAGGGGTGCATCGCCTGCCACACATGGGTTGTCTTCTTTCCCCAATGGAGTGGGCAGAGCCACAGCCAGGCAGGCATCATGCCGCTTGCTGTAGGACCTCACCCCATCCAGAGCAGCGGCAGCTCCCGCCTGAGGCTGCTCTCACCACATGTCTCTTTGGTGCCTAGGTCGAAGAGGAAGGTCTTGGGGCGGAAAGAGCCTGGTGACACCTTTGGCAGCCGGCCCAACTCCCACTCGCCTGTAAAGACTTCAGGCTCCCCAACCAGCGATTCTCCAGCAGCAGCAGGCAGCACCGGGAAGTCCTCCAGCAGGAATGAAGACTTTAAAGCCCTGCTCCAGAAGAAGGGCAGCAAAACCAGCCCCGGTACTCGGCCATCTGCTGCTGAACTGCTCAAGACCACAAATCCACTGGCTCGGAGGGTCATGATGGAATTTGCCCCTGAGCTTGACGGTGCAAACAGTCCCAAAAGCCAGCCCTAATCTTGTATGGTCCCTTCTGGCCATGAAGGGCTGGAGATGGCTGCAGAAGGAATATTGCTGTGGAAGGGGTGTCCTGGCTACCCGGGTGAGTCCATGTGTCCCGCCAGGGGTTTTCTTCTGCTTTTGTTTCTTCCTTGGAGAGCCGCTGGTGGAGAGGCTGCATTTGGAGCCCAAGCCCCCATGTCTCTGGAGGAGCTGGGCCCTTTCCAAGAGGAAAAAGATGGCACTGTGGCTAGGATCGTCCCCGGCTGAGCCAGCTCCCAGGACCGAAGGCGTCTGCTCAGGAAGTGGAGCAGGACTGCAGCCCCCGGTGTCGCTCAGTGCCCACAGCGAAGCTAGCTTGAAACTGTTTGGTCACTTCGGCATGTGGTACTTTAAATGGCTTTTCTAATGCACACGTGGTGATGATGTTTTATTCTCTTTCATTTGACATTGTACCTTGAGTTTCCCAGGCAAAGATCACGGGTTTGAGTTCGGCTGGATACATGGAGATGTACTTTGGGAAGACATAAGGGGGCCAGCTGAAATTGAGGTTGCTTTGGAAGAGCCACAAGCGGTTCCCCCTTGTCATCCCGAGCATCCTCCTTGTCGCACGGGGAACAGGCACCCCACCGTCCACAGCCAGCGCGATGACCTCAAGCCAAAACCCAGCCCCTCCAAAGCCCCCAAAATGCTGCATTTCAGAGCTCCTCAGCTCTTGGTCCAAAATCAAACCCCAGGGTCACCTCTGCCACCAGCCCTGGGGAGCCTCACAAGCCTCCCTGCTCCCCGCCAGCCTCCCTGCTCCTTGCTGGGTCCTGCACCAGCTGTTGACTTCAGGTGATGTTGGGTGTGGGTGGCCCTGCCGCCGTGGGAAGGAAGGGCTGTGGCAAGCTAGCGCTGCCTGGGGATGCCCTTCCCCAGCTCTGCCTCTTGGATCACACCAAAGTACCCTGCAGTAGCATTGCCTGCAAACATCTGCCACATTAGCTGCTGGAGGTCCTGGGTTTCCACCGAACTGTTGGCCAAACCCAGCCAGAGGTCACCTGAGCCACCTCCCAGGTGACTCCTGGGGTCCCTCTTGGGGTTACCACTGCTCCAGCTGTGCCTGCCGGCTGCAGGGGAGCTGTGCGGGGCCGAGCAGGATGCGTGCCAGTGCCATGGGCAAAGCAGGGGCTGCACCCTGTTGCTGTCCAGAGACCACTGCTGGCAGTACCACCGTCCCCCTGGCACACGCAGGTCCCCAGACTGTGTTCCCCGGAGTCTCCCGTGGGCCAGGACACGCTGCCAAGGTGTGCAGCGGGCCCTGAGCAGTGTGAGCCTGGGAGGAGGCAGCACGTGCTGCAGTGGCACGGGGAGATGCAGCACTGGCACAGCCACATTGCCCAGCCCTGCCAAAGGGGTGGTTTTCATATCCCCCTGGCTGGGCTGCCAGCCCTCACCCGGGGCACAACGGAAGGCACAGGGTGGGATTCACCCCCCTCACCCCCAGCTGCTGCTTCCTGGCTTGGCTCCAGCGTGGGAGCCCCAGCTGTCAGTGACAGAGGCCACGGTGAGGGGCAGCGGGGCAGGGACAGCTGCTGGGGTCGGGGCAGAGCTTGGGAGGAGGGCAGGAATGAGAGGGAATGCCAGCCCCAGCTCAGAGCACGAGCATGGCTGTGTGCTCGTAGCAAGAGAGAAAGGGCGGCTGACAAAGAAACAGGGTTTAGAAAAATTTCTGCTTTATTAATCTTGATACATTTCTGCAAACTCTGGCATGCCACAGCCCTCCTGTGCGTGGGAGAGTGATGCAGCTGGGTCTGGGCAGCAGTGAGGAAAGGAAGATACCATGGCAGCACTACAGCTGCTCTTCCAAGAGGCCAGAGCTGGTCTGGGGGGGTCTCTGCCCACCCCCAGGAAGCACAGCCCTCTGCAAACTCCTCCCCATCCACACACCCATGCTGGATTTCACCCTAAAAGAGGCTCTGCGCTCCCTGCGGTTGGTTCCCCCTCCCCTCCCTCCTACTTGCACATTGCTCCCTTCCCTCTCCCGGGGTTGCAGATTTAAGCCTGTAATTAAGATCCAGGCTGAGAAACTCAGGAAAAAAAGAAAAAAAAGAAAAAAAGCTCTAACAGATTTCCATGCTTCATCTCCATCCCACAGCACCCAGCTCTCCTGCTGCTCCCAGGTCTGGCAGCAGGGTGCTGGCATGGCAGGGATGGGGCCCTGGGGACGGGAGAGGGGAGCTCTGGGGACTGGTACATTTTGCACATGACTGCTCAGGAAATGTGGTGGCGGAGGTGGCGGCTAGGGGATGGCAGCCGCAAAGTGGGCTGGGGACAAGCACGGAGCAGGGGCACCTCTGCAAAAACCCAGCACCACTGGCAGGGAAAGTGGTCGTCTGCTACTGGATAAGAAATGTATAGGAGGTCCAGGGTGCATCCTGGCTGCTGAGCCAGGGGTCAGGACATGGGATGGAGATCCTCATTTCCCTGGCCAGAGGAATGGGTTCTTACTGGTGCCAGTTCCCTAGCCACTTGCTTCCTCCTCCCTCCAGCTGTGGATGCAGAACCATTTCCGCAGCTGCTTGGCTGTGGAAAACGCAGCTCGCGGTCCTAAGGGAGAGGCCGGCCAGCGGTGCAACCCCTGGTCCCGCAGGGTGGGGGCCGGCCCGCCATGGTGCGTACTTCTGAATGTTGTACTTTTTAATCTCGCCAGCTTGGTAAACTGCTCCCTGCTGACGGCTGCCTGTGCGTGCTGGTTTTTGCGGCTGCCAAGGGCGACCAGAGTCCTGGGGAAGGGTGCTGTGGAAGGGGCGACAGGCACCCCCTGACACCCCTCGGGTGACTCAAGGGGATGTTGGCAAGCATGGGGCCCAAACGGCCCCATCCACCACAGCCTCTGGCAGTGTCTGCCACAGACTCGTGTGTCCCCAAGGGCTCTGGGTGAGCACAGGGACACAGCAGGGTGTTGGGGACAGTCCAGCATGGGTGCTGGGGATGGCATGGGGGTCTGGGGATGGACTTGGGAGTCCTGGGGGCAGGTGGGATGTGTGCTTGGGACAGCCCAGGGGATTGCTGGAGTAGGCCCAGGCTGCCGGGTGGGTGCTGGGGACAGACTCAGCACGTGTGCTAAGGGCAGTCGGGGCTGGGGACCAATCTGGGGGCAGGTAGGGTGGGTGCCAGGAATAGCCCTGGGCGTCGGGGAACAGCCCGGGGTGCTGGGTGGGCGCGGGGGACAGCCCCTGTCTCTTATACACA